TGTAGATTGTTCACTAGAAAACCCAAACGGCTATAAACTGATCCCATGGGTTTTGCTGTGGAAAATACACTTTTTTTTTTTTTTTCTTCTTTTCTTCTCTTTGAACCGTGTCTTTTTAGCACTGGGGAGGTTTCACTGGGGAGATTTCAGCTGGAGTAATGTGTCCAGCTTTGCAGGTAATGTTCAAAAAAGAGGAATGTAAATTGAGTGGAGGAGCCCTAGTGGAGGGAGAAGTAACTGGTACAGGTATGTGCTCCCATCCTCTATTTTGATCCTGTAGACAGTTCTCTTGCTTTTCTTTTTGGCATATTTTTAATGGTATTATTTAAAATAACATCAGTCTATCCTAAAGCAGGTTACAGAATGACAGAATAAGCTTTTTCTAAAAATTATTGCAAACTTCCTCCCAAGTCTACCACCTGCAGAAAGAAGGAAATAAAGCCTAATGCACTGTGAAGGATTTCAGATTTTGAGACATGCATCTCAGCAGTTGCAGCATCTCAGTTGAAGTTTGCTATTTATGAGAGTTCCTTCTGTCCTGATTCTGCCTTTGAGTCACGAGTCTTATACTCTAATTTGTAAGAGCAATTACCCAAATTCATATACTGATACACTCAATTATGGTTTAGAAGCATTCAGTGTTTTGGACGCTGGACTTATGCTTCAGTTCCAGCCTATGTATTTGGAAGTCAAAACTGAGATGAGTTTGGAAGACAAAATTTGAGGAGCTAAATTTTCATGCTAGAAACTGTTAGTTATGAACAAAGCTATGCTTTTAGTTAGTGCTTTTACTTATGATTTTACAAGAATGTGACTTACATCCTTTCAATTTCTAATGCAGGAAATCAACTCAAGAAGATGAAGCCTAATAAAGGGAATACCTACACTAGGGAGAGAGACTATGTGTACGAATTCAATGCTGGAAATCAACATTTAGTGCTTACAGTGCCTCTCAAATTCCCTGTGCAAGAGAATATTAGTCATTTGCACGGACGTCTAATGCTGCTCCACAATCTGCCGTGCTTTATAGAAAATGGTAAGAATTGATTTCTTAAATTAGTGCCATATATCCATGTCTGTAGGTGTCTTACAACCTGCTTTAAGGAATCGAAAGAAAGGTATTTACTAGAATAGTCTTAAAAAATTTGGTTTTAATACAGCAACACATTAAAGAAAATTACTGTCAGTACTAGCAAATAAGGTGCCCAAGTAAAACTTTATTTGTATGTTTCCTAGATCATTACTGATACTTCCACTGACATGTTTTGTTGATGGACTGTTCTCTTCTTGTTATAATAGACCTGAAGCAATCACTTAATAAGTTCGTAGAAGAGGAAACTATAAAAGATTATGACAGAGAGGCTGAAATGGCTCTGGAAGCAGTGAAATCAGGAAAAGTAGACATAAATCGGCTGGCAGATACTTGGGCTAAAGCTTATAAAGAGGTAAGAATAAGGCTGGAAAGTTAATGTTCAGGACTTGCTTTGTGAGAGTGCGTGTGAATGTACAGACAGAATCACATCTGTGAAGATGCGAAATTACAGTGAAATTCACTTTTACTGAGCAATTCTTAAAATTTTTTCTTTTTATCTGAAAGCAATCATTAAGTCTTCATCCTACAAGTCTCAGTCAGGTGTTTTTATGAATTTAGTAGAGTCAAAGGATAAAAAATTTAGAGATAAATAGCTAGTGATACTCAAATGAAAATAGACCTAAGGGTTGTAGTGCATTGGAATCAAAGTAAGAGATAGTAAAGTGATGCTCCTATCCTGAATCTCAAAAATAGCAATAAAGACTGCAAAGAGAAAGTGTGTTGTTAGAAGAGACTTTTCAGCTCATTTTCTGAGTTCATGTGACTGTTTTACATTATTTAGTGATGATGAGGCTTTAGCTGGAGTAACGCATCCAGTTTTGCATGTGATCTTCAAAACAGATGAATGTAAAAGAACTGGAGGAGTCCTAGCAAAGAAAAAAAAGAATGACATAAACCGTAGCATTTGAGGAAGAGTTTGTAGGAATTGAATTTGCTTATCATGGAATATAGAAGAATATTGTAAAAAATTCCAAAACATACGTCTGTTACAAAGGGGATTGGAAACATATCACTTGCCTAATGAACATCGACAAAAATGAAATTGGCTTTACCTTTAAGAGGTAAAAATATGTATTGAGTGAGCATGGGAATGTGACAAAACATTGAAAAGAGTTACTTCTTCTGTGCTAAGCAGTTTCTATGAATAGGTTAGCCTGAGTGCAGGAGTTAAGATCATTTCTTGACATTTCTAACCTACGTTTCAATGATACAATCTCAATTCGTCAGCTGAATCTAGTGGGGATGATTGCAGATGTAAGGAGTGTTTCAGTATAAAGGAGCTTGCAAAACTGGCATCTTTGGGCTGTTCCTTGTTCAAAAAAAATTGCTTTCCCTAAATCAGTGTTGTTGATCAAATTCTAGTGACATCAGAGGGTTAGTCATCCTTTCTAGCAAAACATTTTTGTTTGCACAGCTGGTGTTTTGGGCCTTATCTAAAATTCATCAATTGCAAATACTGCTGTAGATATTATTGTTCTTTCCGAGTTGGTGATGGCTGAAAATTGGCAATTCCTCACTGTAGTCAAAACCTTAATGTTTCTGCTGTTAGTTGCTTTGAAAGAGAAAGAATATGGGAAGGGAGAAAATGTTAAAGCTAAAGCAAAATACAGAAAGCTCAAATTAGGAAATTGTTGTAGAAAGCTCAAACTGTATGTTGAAGGCTGTGCAGCAGTGTGCATGCCCAGTTGGTTTCACACCACCATTATGAGGCATCCTTGCATATCCTAAGAGATACTATATGCTTTAAAATCTCTTATAATTTTTAGACAACATTAGAATATGCGAAGCCTGAAGAAACCAGCTGGGATGAAGATTTTGCGGATGTTTATCATGATCTAATACATTCTCCAGCTTCTGAAATGCTGTTAAATCTGGAACACAATTATTTTGTTAGTATCTCAGAATTAATAAGTGAAAGAGATGTGGAATTGAAAAAACTACGGGAAAGGTATTCCTTCTTTATTTTTTTCTGTCTTAGTAAATAGGGCTGCATGCCACTGGGTGCATACAAATCGTAGGACAACGTGTGTCCATGTGTCCACTTGTGTTTTCTATATAAACCCTATTCTAGTTTTATGTTTCCCTCTTCAAAGTCATATGACACTTAGCCTATATTGGTAGGGTTAGCTATCTTCTATTCTCCGCAGTCACTGAGAATATTAAAAGCTAAAGCCATCAGTTTAATACAGGGTTTGATTTCCGTTGCTATGTCCACGTTGTAAGCGATACGGCAACGTAAAGTGCTTATAGAAAATAAAGTATGTTTATGTACCATGTTTTGCCTTTTATGATGTAATTTAAATCAAGTATTGAAAGTTCCGCGGGATGAAAAAGATCAGCAAAAGACTTAAACCAACTTTAAATCAGAAACTGTTGAATTTGGAATTTAGGAAAGTCTATGTGCAATCCCGAGTTTCCGAAGAAGCGTGAATAGCTGTAGGTGGCTGCTGTGTCCACGAGAGGGAGCACATACAACGCAGAGTTGTCTTTTTTGACACTAAACAGATTAAGGAAAATGAATGCACACAAGTGTAGATGTAGTATGGATACTAAATACTGGGGAAGCTTGAGATGCCAGAATATTCTGAGTAGGTATATTTTAGCATTTTCAGTGGCAGTATTACTCTGGAATTGTGTTTGTTTAAGCTCATGTTATATGATGCTTATCTGTTTATATAGTTTCTTCTAGACTGAATGTTAAGTATCTCTAATTTGAAGATGACTGTTGCCAATAATGTGTTAGCAAAACTTTTTGCTGCTTATTGACTCTTCTCAAGTATGCATCTAGAAGAAAGAGCACTTAATCCTAAGAACAGTAATGTAGAGCTCTAGCGTGATACACACTCCAGAGGAATTTTTAATATCTATTTGTCATAATCAAGAAACTCCATATGTCTGTGGCAGCTGAGACTATCCCATATGAGTGTAGGTGTTGTTCTGTTTACACAGGAGCTGACTTGGAATCCCTGACCTTCAACTCAAATTTGTTTTGTGGGTATTCATTGCTAAATCTGTGCTAGGGTAAATCGATTCCTTGCTGAAGAAAGGGCTGGATGTGGAAGACGAAGTGAAGCCAGGGATTAAGAGGACCAAGGAGGGATGAGGTATTGGATGAACTGATGATAGCAGGGTAGTCCTTCAACTCCAGGTCCCCTCGCTGAGTGTAGTTTGAGCTGGAAGCTCATCTGACTATTAAAAATAGGTGTGTTTAGCCTACTTCATGGTGTTTACCTGCTGCATCATCTGTGGTTGGCACAGGAGGAAAGCAAGGGACTGAGCAGGTCCATTTCAAAAACTCTTCTGATGATGAGGATAATACAGTGCTATATTAGGGTATCCGGAGACACTGTTGTACCTTCTTTTGAATATCTGTGAGGGCAGACTTGAAATGTATGAATGCCAATTCCAAAGTGAGCAGATGGACGAGGTACTGCATGACGTATCTTTCAGCTGTGTGTTCAGTTGTATCTCTGCTTGTGATGAGCATTTGCCAGCTGACTGATACAACTGATGATTGTGTCAGTAACTGTATTGACAATAATGGGGTTTTTTGAAAGCATTGCTTGTTGTAAACCTACGTCTGCTTCCCTTTCAGACAAGGAGCAGAAATGGATAAGGTGATGCAGGAGCTAGGGAAATCGCTAACGGACCAAGATGTAAATTCATTAGCGGCTCAGCATTTTGAGTCTCAGCAGGTAAACCAAGTTCAGTGAAGTAGAATACATCATGCAAATAATTGCTTTAAAAAGAAGACACTCAAATTATCACTGTCATCTTGTTAGGATTTGGAGAACAAATGGACCAATGAATTAAAACAGTCAACTGCTATCCAGAAGCAGGAATATCAGGAATGGGTCATAAAGCTTCATCAGGACCTAAAGAATCCCAACAATAGCTCAATCAGGTATTTAATTCCTTTGTGATGCTTACTTCCATCTGTAATAGTTCAAAGGACTTGCTTTTATATGATCTGTATTCCAGATTAGCAATTTAAATAGGATAATCAAAGAAAAGCAAAGGCAAATAAACCATCATAATTAAATATTTATATTTTTAGGAGTTTATTAATTGTATAATGTTATCACCTTTCTGTACCAGAAAGTGTTCTAACGCACTAAAATACAATGGGCTGATGAATGGAATTTCTTCCTATTTTGCCTTTATTTACAATGTCTGTTATTAATAGAATTTCACAAGGCTCTCTATTGTCACTTAAGGATGTTCTGCAGAATAATTGTAGCTTAACGAATGGTAACAGTATCACAAGTTTCGAATTAATAAGCCTTTTTTTGTTTGTGGGTTTTTTTTGTTTGTTTTATGTATACATCACTGTACAGCTAAAAAAATTGAATTTTTTAGTGTGAACATGTGTGGTGAGAGTTGAAAGAAAAGCTTTCTGGTTGAGGAAGTAGCAGGGAAATCAGAATTTGCAACTTGGAGAGGTCCTTACTCTGTATTGCTAGTAACCAGCACCTTTGCTGCTAATAAGAAAGTAGAAGGAGTAAAACCTAATGCTTTCTTATGCCTCACGTTAGCAGAAAAGCCTGCCTGAGTATATTTGAGTGAATGCAGTAAGGAATTTATGGGAAGCACAACACAAAGTCTTGAACAACGCAGATGTCAGTGATAAGAGGAGACAGGCATGGATCATAATGCATGGAATACTTCATCACTTTCTCTTAAGTGTTTCCTATAGGGATAAGGAAGCTGAATGCATGGAACATGAGGGAGAAGGGGAAATATATTGGAAGAGAATGCTGTATGTTTAGATTTCTCACTACTTTCCTCAGGATTTTGTCGTCTGTGAATTTATGTTTTGGAAGAGTTTTGCAGTTCTGAGAATGTCCTAGAACTGCATAGCTCATAAGCAAGCAATCCTCAAACGTTCTTCCACAGAATTTTCATGTTAGCTTTGCTGATTATTTCCATGAGGCTTTAAAGATAGTAACATTACAAAGGCTGTTCGTACTTACCACTGTGAACCTCTTCCTGTTTTCTGGCCACTTACTGCTGTAAAATCAGACCAAGGCAAAGTTGCTTAGAGCCGAAAGCTGGAAGAAATGGGCTGCTAGAGGTCCAGAGGCAAGTACCACTGAGAGAGATTGAGGATGTTTTGGCTTCATAATCCTGGATGCTTATAACAGGTGTGAAGTGATGGCATTTTAACCACATACACTAGTAGAAAGTATGATCTCTCTGCTTGTGTTGAGTCCTGAGAACTAGATCCCTAATGCATTTGAGAATAATGCGCAGAAAGTCTATAGCAGGGCAGCGAGAAGCATAAAGAGAGAGAGAGAAATGTGTGTGTTACACACATATATAGACATAAAAGATTCATATATACACACACACATATATATCTTTATGCATCTAGTTGCTTATATGTGTGTGTATATATATTTATTAACGGTGTATCTCAGTTCTGCCTCATCACTAAGCATTTGCAGTTAGTGCTTGCAAGTTTACAGAACAATCCTTTGTGAAACACCTTTGAAGAACAGGCACTTTGAAAACAAAGAGAAACTTTATGTTAGTGCAGAAACAAATCGGAGAGATGTTTATGTTCTTTCCTGTAGCAGAAACAGTACTTATTATGTCACTTACTACCAGATGGTTGAATTTAGGAAAAAAGTTAAAATTGATCTCTGAAATCTTTCCTGCTAGTTTGAACACTGTGGAGCATTTGATTTGCTTTTTGTAACCTCCCATTTTTTGTGGGAAAAAAAAAAAATGTTTTATCTAGTAACTTCATAAATAAGAGTTTGGGTATTATAAATAGGCTGAGAGGAATTTTTTTTTTCCTTTTATTCTTGTATTGTTCTTATGTTATAACTAGGTATTGTGATTTGTTTTTATTTCTCAATCTCAGAATGCTTTACAAATGAGCTAGGTGATGTAAATCAAACAGTGGAGTCTACTCTTCCTGCTGGTATGGACGTGGAGTGTTGCATGCCAGAAGGGCAAAACCCCCGATGAGTGGAGTTCATTCATATAGGTTTAATCTCTTGATTTCCACAGACTAGCTGGGAAAACTTTGGACAGTTTTTGCAAGGTATTGCTGATCTTGGACAAAAACTAGGATAAACTTTTAAGTACGTTTCTCATTATTTTAGCGATGAAATTAAGGTTCAGCCCAGTCAACTGAGAGAATCTGTAGAAGGAAATGGAAGAATTTATGAAGAGCAAAGGCTGTTAGAAGAAAGTTTTACTATTCACTTGGGTAAGTAAAGTAAACTGACATCACAACCAAGCATAATAAGAGTTGCTAATATATAATGTATCTAAGCCATGTGTTATTTATAGTATTTAACTGTTGATGTATGTAACACATACAGTTTGTAATTGTTTTGTATTTGTTCTTTACGTATGTAAGAGAAGTACAGTACAGTATAAACTGTAGCAGAAAGTATCTAGCTACCTGAAATATACTTAATGGAAAATGTTCTAGAAGCAAGTTTTTATCCACTCCAGCAAGGTGACTAGTGAAGAAAAGCACACTAACATCAAAACACATAGCGGTTGAAAACTATATTTTAACTTTTCTTTTGTTTGGTAAAAAAATGTGGGTATTCAGTTCAGTTCCCGTGATAATTTAGCAGAAAAGCAGATGCTTAAAATTGTTACTTTTTGTTTATGCAATAGAGACTTCTTACACCGTTCGTTTTGACTTCATTAATATTTCATCCATAGCCCTATAACAGGGAACAAGGCTTATTTCAGGTATACATAACCCTTGCTTTGTGACAGTATGTGAATACGTTGTGGTTTTACTCTTATTTCGTAAATTACTGATATGTATGTAAAACTGAATATGTGCTTAAGAACTTTCTTTAAGTATTATATTTCCCTTATAGATCTTTTTCACAAAACTTAGGGGAACACTTTGATCCCTTGGATTTTAATAAAAATCCTGAGTTTCCTCTTTTACTGTATGTATTAAAATAATTTCTATTCCATATAGGAGCTCAGTTGAAGACCATGCATAACTTGCGATTACTGAGAGCTGATATGCTGGATTTCTGTAAACATAAGCGCAATCATCGAAGTGGAGTAAAGCTTCACAGACTTCAAACTGCGATGTCTCTCTATTCAACTTCTCTCTGTGGCCTCGTGTTATTGGTAGATAATCGTATCAGTTCTTACAGTGGCATCAAAAGAGGTGAGGCCTTTAATGGGGTATATCATGTCAGTGAAAACAAATGTCACTTAAAAACTTGCTGTCTTCTCTCACGAAAAAAAATACTCCCCGTAAAATTAAAGCTTACTAGAGACCCTAATGTTTTTGACATAGTATTGCAATAGGTAACAAATGCAAAAAGAGGTATGGATAAGGATGGGAGACAGAGTTGTGCTCTGATATGCTGTTATCTCTCTCTCATCTCTTTCCTAGGTTTTGTGTTTGAGTAAGGAAGGTCTTAGACTAAACACTTCAGTGTTCGTTTCTCTGCCTGAGACTAACTTGTTATCAGTAGAGGCTTCTAACTCTCCAATGTCAGCTTAGCGTGCTGAAACTTATTTGTGAAGATCAACGTGTGAAATATGCTACCACTTTAAATTGATAAGTAAATGTAAAAAAATACCATGTACTTTAGATATCTGCAGCACTATGAATTCCATTAAAAATGAATGATAGGAATATTACTTGCCTACTCCTGGAAAGTTTGATTATTAGCTGTTTTAAGTGCAAGTGTCTTGAGTAACCGGATACTATGATGAAGGTGTTTTGTATCAAGGTTAACCAGTGAAAAGTGTTCATTCCTGTTCCAATTTTGGTCACCGAGGCTTTCCCTGAACCATGTGATTGACTTTCCCACCTTCCTCTTGAAGTTTAATACCACAATATTACACTTGAAATATCTTTTTGACTGGAGCTACTCTTACTTGTCATAATTCTAGTGTGTTGTGAAAAAAAAAATAGGCTTTGGTGATTAATGTTTTCTGGAAACAGTGTGGAATCAGGCTTGTAGCAGGAAGGAAAGGGAAATGTACCAGTAAAAATTGCAGTTGCATTTGTGCTGTTTATAGTTTCCAATTTGCTCAATTATGGCAGTATTATCTCATACTTTTGCTTGTTTTCACTTTTTTTAGCTGCTTAAATTAATAAGAAATAGAGAAGACTTGGTTTTTTGCTAAATCTTAGGTGATAAGAGAAGACGGGCATTTAAGTAATACTGTTAAACACAAAATTGCGTCTTCTAGCCACCGGGTAGATCTTGCAGCCACAGTAGAGGTGAAAATAAGGGACAGTATCACAATCTGTAAAATATAATCCTCAACAAGTTTTGATTTCATTGAGTTCCAAAGGGACTTCGACAAACTTAACCATGGGCATGTTCCACAGCTGTCTGAACCACCATTCTTTAAAAAAAAGTTGCAGAAATTAATGTCTCAGCTCCTCTGACCTAGTCGGATATATTACTTTAAATCATCAGTGAACGTCTGGTTGTACTGGGTCCCTAAACCACTATAGGCAGCAACTGAGGCTTGGGCACATTTCTTTAAATCCACTCTGTGGTGAGAGTGGTAG